GAGATGAGAGAGGGCAAGATGTGGAAGGGCTGTTTGTTTGCTTTGTTTTCCTTTCTTTGAGATAGGGTTTCTTTGTGTAGCCCTGGCTGTCCTGGAACTTGCTCTGTTTAGACCAGGGTAGCCTTGAACTCAGAGACCTGCCTAAGGTGTGTGCTACCACCACCACCCAGCTTGTTTTTTGGGTTTTTTTTGGGGGGGGTGGATTGGTTTGTTTTGTTTTTTTGAGACAGGGTTTCTCTTTGTATCCCTGTCTTAGAACTTGATCTGTAGACCAGGCTGGACTTGAACTCATAGAAAGGCATGTACCACTAGGCCCAGCTCTTTTGTTCCAACCCCCAGACATGTTTAAAAGGACTAAGGAGAAATGTGTACCTTCACACAGTAAAAAGGGGTCTTATTGGTTGGATGTCTTTAATCCCAGTGGTCTGGAGCATCCAAGCAAGCAGATCTTTGAATTCAAGACAAGCCAGGACAACATCATTTGACCCAGTGTACAACAATTAAAGGGGGAAAAAATTAAGAAAATAAAAAAGTGAAATCGTGGGGGGCTGAAAAAAATGGCTCAATGATTAAGAGGGCTTACTGTTTTCACAGAGGACCTGAGTTCTGTTCCCAGCACCCATGCCAGTTTACAAGCTCATATAACTCCCAACTCCAGGGGGTCAGATGCCTTAGGCCCTCCATGGGAACCCACATGCATGTGTACATACATGAGACACACACATATAAGTTAATTTTATTTTTTAAGAAATAGACAATCTTGGGACTGGAGAGATGGCGTAAATCTTAAAAAAAGACAATCTCAAAAACCAAAAGTCAAGAACCAGAGCTTAGTGATGGCTCCAAGAGTAAGGACACATGATGCCAACCCTGATGACCTAAGGTTGATCCCTGGAATCCACATGGTAGGAGAACATCAATTCCTCTTAGTTGCCTTCTGTCCTCCAAACATGTACACTCACAATAAATATAGAAAGAAGTAAATGTAAAAATTAGAGACCTCTATCCAGGCCTGATTGGCCTAGAGCTGCTGAGCCCCCTGCCTGAGCCTCCTGAGTTCCTGGATAGTGAGGAGGCATGAGCCATCTCACCAAGCTTACCATGAATGTTTTGCTTGAGATGGGTTTTCTGTATATAGCCCTGGCTGGCCTGGAACTTGCTATGTAGAACACAATAGCCTTGAACTTGTACAGTCCTCCTGGGTGCTAAAATTAGAGGTTTAAACCACCATGCCCAACACACCATAGATTCCTTATCTCTAGATCTCTCTCCCCACCCCCATGTGTTTCAAGAGCACTGAGGACATCAGATTGTGCCCACTAAGTACAGACACATCATTTACTTCCAAACATTTTTAGGTGATGAGACCTTAGATGTATGATATTTATAAAGAAGCAAGTAGATAACCAAAGAATGCACAGAAGCTGGAAGTTGACACAGGAGGGCAGGTATTCATACATATAGAATACAAAACACAGGGTTCAGGCTGGCAGAAAATACCTTGTGATACTTGGGCTGGATGCATCCATTACTTCTTTATGATCCTTTCTATGAAGGACAGGGCTGTTAAGTGGTCCTTCTTCATTTCCTGTGGCTGAAGATAACAGTCTAGACACTCTAACAAATTAAATGTAGTGGTGTCTGATTTAATTCCAGCACTCAAGAGGCCTGCCAGGTTACAGTGAAACCTTGTCTTAAAGACGAAACACACAGAGGCAGGTGGATCTCTGTGAGTTCGAGTCCAGCCTGGTCTACATAGCTAGTTCCAGGACATGCTCCAAAGCAATACAGAGAAACTGTCTATAAAAACAAAACGAAACACACTAATCTCCCAACACACCCCACTAGGACTACCTCACTTTCTGGGAGCTTGAACATGCCTGGACTGGCCTCCACTATGCGCGATCTGAGTCAAGGGTCAAGGCTAGAGACTATTTAAGCACCCTGGGTGTACCCCCATTCTTCCAACCTTTAAAACTTCCTAGCTGGCCAGCTTACTTAGGCGGCTGGCTCCCACCGCCCCCTACTGTAGCCAGAGGCTCTGTCATACCACCTTTCTTAAGTCCCAGGATATCTATAGATCGTTTCTTCCAGGTCCTCCATGCTTCCTTCACAGGCCATTCCGAAGCTCACTGTCGGTCCAGTCACACTCTTCCTGGCCCGCTAAAGCACTTCCCTGGGGGAACTCATACCAGCGCTGGTGCAGCCCACGGGCCTGGCCATATTCACCACTTTCTACACCACGCTGCGTGTGTGTACACATCGAGCACAACCGACTCAGGACAGGGGTCCTTGGACCCGCCCCCAAGCAAACCAAAGTTCAGACACCCTAACAGCCCTCCAAATTTCCCTCCACTCCCATCATAGGGAGACCCATGCACCGGGACCGCTATACCCAAACTGCCTGGCACGCGCTGGTCTGCACCTTGGCACTGGCTAGCCACGAGACTGTTCCCTTAAATCCCTTTCCCGCCACTGTCAAAAACCCTAGGACTACAAAGAAAGGGTCCTGAAGAGACGTATAACCCTCTCTCTCCACTTGGCGGGGTGCAGGAGCTCGTTCACTGCTATCGAAGGGAAGGAACATGAGGCCACCCACATGCCTGGGAGGCCACCATCGAGAGGTAGCCGCCAAGAGAGAAAGAGCAGCCCTAGAAGGTCAAAGCGTGTGGACTTCCGCCTGCCCCTCGGCCTTTTTGGTCGCGGGTGTCCAGTGCATAAGCCTCACCCCTCATGCCCTAAATCCTACAGTACTGGGTCGAACCTCACTCAGACCAGTGTTGTGGAACTGGTTTCCTTTTAAGCCAGTTTCCTTTTAAGCCAACATCAACAATCCTAGTTTATGGGATCACAGCGGGGTAAGGAGTTCATTCGATCGATGCATTAAAGTTACCTCAGCACTTAAGAACATTTACTGTAGCCTGGCATGTAGCCATGCAAACCTTTAATCCCAGCACTTTGGAGGTGGAGGCAGGCGGATCTCTGTGAGTTCGAGGCCAGCCTGCTATAAGAATGAGTCTCAGGACAGCTAGAGCTACGTAGTGACCCTCCAAATTTCCTTCCACTCCATCACAGGAGACCCGTGCACCAGGACGGCTGTACCCGAACTGCCTGGCACTCTGGCCTGCACATTGGCACTGGCTAGCCACGAAACTGTTCCCTTCTATCCCTTTCCCGCCACTGTCACTAACCCTCGGACTACAAAGAAAGGGTCCTGGAGAGACGTATAACCCCCTCCTCTAACTCAGCGGGTGCAGGAGCTTGTTCACTGCTAGCGAGCGATGAACCTCAAACCTCCCCAGCAAAAAGAAAAAAGCGCACACGTTCGGTTTCCAGCACCTACAGCTCTAGTCCCCGGCGATCTGACGCCCCCTTCTGTCCTTCGCTGTCACTACAAGCACATGGTGCACAGGCATGCAAGCATACTTCCTACACACACACACACACACACACACACAGAGAGACAGAGACAGAGAGAGAGAGAGTCGGATCTTCATGAGTTCCAGGACAGCTGTGGCTATACAAGTAAGATCCTATTTCAGAATATCAACAATTAGAAGGCCGGAAAGATGTCTCAGCGGGTAAAGGACACGTAGTACTACCAAGCCTGAGTATTCGGGTAGCTTCCCCTGAAAGGTGGGAGGAGGGAACAGAGCCGTACACAGTACTTTGCCCACTACACCTGCAATGCAAGAGGGTTTTTCCGAAAACCACACAAGATCACTCCACGCGGACTCATCTCGCATAACGATGCCGCAGCGTGCGCAAAGAATAAGAAAAGGGAAATATAATCATTGGCCCAGAGGAGGGACGTTGAGATTCTAAGGTGACGGATCGCCCAGAGGACGACAGTACCAACCACGGAAGTACCCGCGACAGCGCTAGGGCTGGAAGTGCCAGAAATGAGGGGGTGTGTCTACGATGGAGGTTCCGCCCCGGAAGTCCATTTGTTAAGGCCAAGACGGTCAGCCCTTATCCTTATATGGACATCCGGAAGTAGCTCGCGGCGCCACCCTACGTCACTACATCCAAATTTAGCCAGGGAAGTCGGCCCGCTGCTGTGGCGGGAAGTCTGCGCGTTGGTGTGGGGTGTTCCTTAAAGGGCAAGCACAGCAAGTGAAAGGCAATATTAAAACTTTTTTACCCCTTTGCATCTAGAATCAGGTTTCCTTTGGCGAATGGTGCAGAGTGGAACCGACGTCTTACTTTCTTTGTGCATGTCTGCGTGTGTGTTTGCGTGCACGCGCGCGGAACTCGAACTCAGGTCGTCAGGCTTGGCAGCCAGTGATTCTACCCATTTAGCCTTCTCGTTGGCCCAGATACCTTCCTTGGGGGTAACTTGCTTCCCGGAGTGCGAAGGCAGAACCTGCAGTGTCCGCGGGAAAGGGTGGGAGCTATGTTCATTGGGACTTCATGGCACTGGGTTGCGGAAAACTGGAGATGTTTAACGCTGAATGTGAGCACAGCGGTTACGTGAATGTAGGCGGCTGGCTGTGAGGTAGCTCACTCCGGGGTCAGCCAGCGTCGTCCGCGCCAACTTTCCACCCATATCCGTCCGGGAGGATAGAGATAGAAGGGCTGGAGGCTTCAGTTGCCCCTTTCGCCCTGGTATAGTCATTCGTTTAGTAAATATTGGTCAGGTGATCGCCTCAGGTTTCTCACCTGGAAAAAGTAGACTACTAACTGTGCCGTCTGAGGAGTGGAGATGAGTGATCAGAGACATTGAATAAAGAGAAAGCGAACATCCCTGGCGTGTTAAATAAGTAGCAACGTTTTTACTGTTCAGAAAACATTAATTAGCTGGCTGGTAGGTGAGATAAACAGTGCCCTCGGGGAACGTACTCCTTTCCGGGTCTTCCCCACTGCAAATGTAAGATTACCACCCACCACCGGTTGGCTAGTGGGTGCCCCGCCAGTGAGACTGAGAACCCAGACCAACCTGGGGTCTCAAGGCGCAGTGGGGTAAGTTCTTCCTTGCCAGGATCTAAGTCCCTTGTCCTTCGAGGTGTAAATTTATCTCTATTGCTTTAAGGAGTCTCTGGCCACTGTGGAAAGCCCGGATGAGGCCTTCTGATTGGGCGTGGCGTTTCCGTGACGTCATCCTGACTATATTAAAAGGGCTCCGGCACGCTGCCCCGGCCGGAACTTCTAGCAGTGTACCTGCCAGTGTAAGTTTGTTGTCTGGGCAGTACTGCCTGTCTTAATTCATTGCCGGCTTTCCTCTACGTTCTCGTCGAGCAAGCATGGAAGCACAGAAAGAAGCGCAACGCATTATGACCCTGTCGGTGTGGAAGATGTACCACTCTCGCATGCAACGAGGTGGTTTGCGTCTTCACCGTAGCCTACAGCTGTCCCTCATCATGCGTAACGCTCGGGAACTCTACCTTTCAGCCAAGGTAGAGACCCACCAGCCCGAGTTCCCGCCATCTGGCCGTTCTCTTGACCCCCGCCTGCACCCACCGCGGGGAGCCGAAGCTGCAGTGAGAGCGGCGCCCCCCGACGCCGAGCAGCCCCCGGAGCCCATGGACACGCAAGAGACCCCTGCGCTCTGTGACCCGGCCCCCGCCAGAGTCAGCCGCAAGCGCCGGAGCAGCAGCAACCTGAGCGACGGCGGTGATGTTGGACTGGCACCAAGCAAGAAGGCCCGCCTAGAAGAGGTGGAAAGAGAAGAGACATCGGAGGTCGCCGATCGCCTGCAGCTTCCTCCCGCACAAACCGAAGGTGCCTTCCCTAATCTTGCCCGTGTCCTTCAAAGGCGCTTCTCTAGTCTACTGAACTGTGGACCCTCAGTGCCCCCGCCGACGCCCCCCACTTGCGAGGCTAAGCCAGCCTGCCGCCCGGCCGACAATATGCTTAATGTGCTGGTGCGAGCTGTGGTGGCCTTCTGAGGATTCCGATCAGCGTCACCGGAGCCGAAAACGCACACCCGAGTCTAGGGTCGGCTGGGGAAAGTCGGCGGGGCCCGTGAAGAAGAGCCGCGGCCGGAGCTGCTAGAGGCCCGGGGAAGGACTGAGGAGCTGGGGGCGCGGGCGCCTTCTAGACGTGCGTCCACAGGTGTTGTTAAAGGACTGTCCCTTCCCTGGCTGGGAGAAAGGACACCTGAATCTTGAATCTCAGGGTCGGATTTTCTTGGCCTGGCTGCCCTTGCAAGGCCGTTTCACTAGCATACGCGTTTTGGCCCCTACAAGTGGCACGCTTGTGCAAGCGATCACAGTTGCGTCATGGGGCAGACGCGGGTGCTTCCTGTTGCCTAGCGTGGGTGTGGGGCCTGGGAGGAGGAGGCCAGGGTGTGGACCCGCCCTAGGGACTGGGAAGTGATTTGAGTCACTTCGCCCCCACAGGCTGCTATGGTTGAGCCAGCCCTCAGCTAAGAGCCCGAACTGGACCGATCAAATCTTTCTTGGATCGGTGGAGCGTCTGGAGAGTCCCTGAACTGTCAGCCTAGACTGATCGCCCGGCGTGGGCCACGGTGGAAAGCCTGGGAGGCTGGCTGGTCGCAGTTGCTGTCGTAGACCCGGCCCCTTCGGGCAGGAAAGGAATTTTTTGGCCAGCATGTTTATGAAGTCTGTTTACCTTTCCCATGGTGGGTTGTCTTTAACTCCCATCTACTTGCGTTTTACAGTGTCAGCTAGGAAAATAAAGACCGTCGGAGTAAAGAGCGCTGCTGTCTGGCTTGCTTCCCTGGAGGGGGGAGGGGCGGGGTTAAAGGGTCAGGACTGGCCGCCGCTCCCTAAGCCTCGAGAACTGGCTTGACCGGGTGCCCATTTCTTTGCCGTAAATTTACAGGCTATTGCTTGAAATAACCCTGTGATTTGGGGGTTCCTTAGAAATTAACATACACTCTGGTGGTCAGCGAGTGTAGAAAGTTTACAGCATTTAAGGGATATTGGGTGCATTGTTTCAAAAGGAACTGACGAATTTTAAATGATGGCGTTTCTCTCGTGCCCTCTTCTGGAACTGTTGTATAGGACCTCCGCACGTGGAGTGGCAGAGCCTGGACTTTGAACATGCCCTTTCCGATGTCTTTAGCTTTGTGGCTCAGGCAGATAAGCGAGTGCTAACTTGTTACCTATCTAAAATAAGCCTAGGCCGGGCGTTATGGCACATTTGAATTTCAGCACTAGAAGCCAGAGCCAGCCCGGTCTACAAACGAGTTTCAGGACAGCCATGGCAGTTAGAGAAACGATGTCTCGTTTAAAAGAAGAAAAATGGGTCTGTAAGCCACTTCTGCAGCACATTTAGGCCTTAACAATGCTCATACTTAATCTAACCGGAAGTTAGTGCGTAGAAGTCCCTAAAACTTTGTGTTTTGTTTAAAGCCAGGCAGCATGGTGCATCTTTAATTCAAGCAAAAGCAAGGCAGAGGCAGGCTGATCTCTTGAGTTAGAGGCCAGCCTAGATTCCATAGTTAATTCCAAGTCCACACAAACTGAAGTTAGCTTTGATCTTATCCAGCTGCGGACTATCCAACCAACCCTTAGGAAACAACTCCACTTTTGTTTCCGACAGGCTTTAGGTATAACCTAGGGGCCTGGGTGTAGGGTGGGGGGGGGGGACTTGAGACCCTAAGGACAAAGGAACAGCAGGTGCCGGAGGAGCAAGGAAAGCTCTTGCCCTGCCCGCCCGACATCTGGCCCCACCCCCTCGGGCCTCTCCTGACTCCAGGGAGGAGGGCAGGAGGAGGGGATTGCCATGGAGTGGCAAACTGACTGCCCAGCTCCCTGGAGCATCCCAGCCCCCAGGTTCTCCTTCCTGGGATTAAGGGTAAAAACTTCCCAGGAAACCCAGCCGAGACCACCTCCCAGAAATCCTGATTCCTTACATTGAAAACCTGAAATACCCCTAGCCCGGCCCACTGTCTAGACCCTTGAGTTCTTTGGGGATCTTGGGCACACAGGATGGAAAGTCCCTGGTGGCTAGGGAGGGGCCCTCGGTGCACATCCTGTCCCAGGAACCACAGGGCCCTTCCATGGGAAGTGGCTTGTCTGACCCCCACCCGAACTCTGTCTTCCGGTGCCGCAGCCACTGTAGGGTGGGGACTGAAACAAAGTTCCCTACACGTGCTAACATTCTCTTAAGGAAGGAGCTACATGAGAAATTGTTACAATCAAAGCCTGTACTCCCAACATGTAAGAACCTGAAGCTGGAGGGTTAGTGAGTTCAAGCCTAGCCTGGGCTACACAATGAGGCTGTCTCATAATAAAACCATATTAAACAGGGTGTAGGTGGTGGCCCCAGAAGTTCAAGCTCATGAGACCTTTTCTAAGGCACTTAAAGCCGTGTGATGACTGAGGAAATGCTGGATGGGTATCCTTACTTTGAGAAAAACTGCCAGTTTACAAAGTCTTAGAAAGCCATTCTGAGTCAAAAACCCCTGAATCTGAAGCCGGCCTTGCTGCTGAGGGAGGTTCCAACCCCAGTATCCTTCCCCACCATCATAAAAAATACAAGCCTGTGCACAATGTCTGGAATTGGCCCTTTTGTTTCAGTACAGGGCCTTTGTATTTAACTATTTTTTGTAGAGGTTTATGTGCATATTATGTTATTTTAAGAGATAATGCCTGCCTGGCATTGGTGGCACATGCCTTAAGTCCCAGCACTTGGGAGGCAGAGGCAAGGTGATCTCTCTGAGTTCAAGGCCAGCCTTGTCTACAGATCCAGTTCCAGGACAGGGCTCCAAAGCAATCCAGAGAAACACTATCTCAAAAAAACAAGGAGAGAGAGAGAGGGAAGGAGAGAGAGAGAAAGAAAGGCTGTTCCTTGTGCCCCAGGCTGTCTCAAGGGGTGACCCTGAGCTTGGTCTCCTTCCTCCACCCAGGTGTTAGAATTAAAATGCTCCATCTGGGAATGGAACTCAAACCCTCTTGCTTACATGCAAGCACCCTGTGTACTGACCCATCTCCACTCAGATCCAAATCATACAATTCCATAGCGATACAACCATTACCCTTACCATTTTCAGAATCTTCCAGCTTATCCCCGACCTCCAGCCACCTAGAGTCTGCTTTGTGTCTTGCCCATTGTGGACCACTCACTTGAGGAGACTCTTTCACAAAATAGCCCTTTTAAGTTAGGCTTCTAACTGGCCTCATCATGTCTTCTGGGTTCATCAGTGTTTAGCACACACAAAAGAACCACTTTGCTCTTTTATAGCTTTATAATATTCCTGTGTATAGATTTATACTTGTCAAACTTCTACCTGCTATGGATATATAGGTCATCTCTACTGGTGACTGTGAATATGCTATGAAAATGTGTGCAAAAATGTCTGCTTCTTTTAGAGATTTTGTTTATGAACTTTAAAAGAATTTTTAAGATTTATTTTCTTTGTATGAATATTGCCTGCATGTATGTACAAATACCATCACCTGGGTACTTGGTATCCTCAGAGGCCAGAAAGCCTCAGATCACCTGTAAGTGAAGTTATAGATGGTTGCAAGCATCCATGTTAGTTCTGGGAATCAAACTCTGGTCCTCTGTAAGAGCAGCCAATGCTCTTAACTACTGAGCCATCTCTCTAGCTCCTACTTTCAAGGATTTTGTGTATGTGAGTGGTGGGGAGATGGTGGGGTGAGGGGGTGGGGTAGTGGTGTCCAGACAGGGTTTCTCTGTGTAGCTGTTGCTGTCCTGGAACTTGCTCAGTAGATCATGCTGGCCTTGAACTCTGCCTCACAAATGTTTGTTTTATAGGGCTAGTAGGATGGCTCACGGGGGGTGGGGGGGTGGGGGGGCTAGCCAGCAAACCTGAGTGCCTTAGTTCCATCCCCAAGAAGTGGAAGGAGAGTAGAAGGAAAGAATGGACTCCTCCAAGTCGTCTTCTAATCTCCACATGACCTCACAACATAAACATACATATAAAGTAATTATTTGGGGTGTGGCAGCAAGGATTCTGAGTTCAGAGGACAACTTATGGGAGTCAGTTCTCTCCTCTCGTCCCACAATGTGGATTCTGGGGATGGAACTCCCTCTGAGTTTCCCTCTGAGACAGGATTCTCTGTGTAGCCCTGGCTGCCTGATATTCATTTTATAGAGTAGGCTGGCCTCAAACTCATATTCATCTGCGTCTGCCTCCTGAGTGCTGGACTGAAGACATTAGCCACCACAGCCCTGCTTGCCCAGCACTGAACTCCCTGAATCTAGATTTGTCAAAAAGCAAAAAAGGCCTTAGCCACCTGTTTCCACTTATTTATTTATTTTTGGTTTTCAAAGACAGGATTTCTCTGTGGCTTTGGAGGCTGTCCTGGAACTAGCTCTGTAGACCAGGCTGGTCTCAAACTCACAGAGATCCACCTGCCTCTGCCTCCCCAGTGCTGGGACTAAAGGAGCACTCCACCCCCCCCCCAAGCTTTCTTTCTTTTGTGTGTGTGTGGGGGGGTCCTGTTTCCTTTTTTTTTTTTTTTTTTTTTTTTTTTTTTTACAACAGTATCTCATACAGCCTAGGCTGGAAACTGACTATGTAGCCAGAGCAACTTTGAACTTCTGGTCTTCTAGCCTCACAGGGGACCCTCTCACTGGGAGTGATCCTAGGCAGGCTTTCTACCCCTGCTCCTGTGCTGTGATCTGGTTTACCTGGCACATAAACCACAAATGCTCAGGAAGTGATTAAGAGCAAATTAAACACAGTCATTACTAATGGTCATTACTGGGGACTGGAGAGATGGTTTAGCAGTTACGAGTCTTCTAGAGGACCCAATTTTAGTTCCCAGCACCCACATCCCCATCCCTGTAAGGCAGCTCACAGCCTATTTTTTTGTCTGTTTGTTTTTTGTTTTTTCGAGACAGGGTTTCCCTGTAGCTTTGGAGCCTATCCTGGATCTCACTCTGTAGACCAGGCTGGCCTCGAACTCAGAGATCCCCCTGCCTCTGCCTTCTGAGTGCTGGGACTAAAGGCATGTCTGGCCATCTCACAGCCATTTTTAACTCCTGTTTCAAGGGTTCAATGCCTCTGGCCTATGTAAGCACCTGCACTCATAGGAACACACATGTGAGCAGGAATGCACATGGATGTGCGTGTGCGCGCGCACACAACACACACAAATTTACACATAATTAAAAATAGTAAATCTTTTTTAAAAATGAACTAGTTATTCATCTCAGAATGCAAAGTTGCCTTTGGTGAATTAACACTTTTTTTTGTTTTTCTTGGTGGTTTTGTGTTGAAGTCACAGAGATCAGCGGGACTGACTTCTGACATGGGCCACCACACTTGGCTTGTTGTGGTGGTCGTTCTTTGAAACAAAAATCTATGTAACCCCAGCTGACCTGGAATCCCTTATCTAGGTCAAGGTGGCCTTGAACTTGCAGAAAAACACCTCACTTGGCAGATTTTAAGTGGGGGCTACTACTGTCAACTCTGGGGTCTTTTTTGCTTGTTTTATATTTGAAACAAGGTCTCAGGTGGCCCTGAGTGACATCAAATTCACTATGTAGCTTAGATGAACAACTTATGCCCTATCTCCATTTCCTATGTACTAGGTTTACAGGTGTGACCAAGACTCAAGCATACTGGGCAAGCCCTTAACTTACTGATTCGCATCTGGTACTCTCTCAGAGATAGGACTCAAGGTAATGGATCCACAACTCTGCTATATTCCGAGCTCCCCCAATCTCCCTCCTTTATTTTTTGCAATCTTAGCTTACTAAATTATTCAGTGTAGC